CTATTTCCCTTGTCACTTGTTGACTTCTCTGCTCCTATATCTGTGGTAGTAGATAGTTTGGGCTGATGATCAGTATCATTATATATTTGTTTTTCTGCATCCCGACTTAAGGCAAGGGCAGCTTAGTTATCAGTATTCTTGTGCTCTATGGATTGCAACTTTACATTAGGAGTCTCTATAGTAGCAATTCTAGGCAAAGAACTTGCTTCTAAATTTACAATGCTTAGCATGTTATAGTACACAAATTCTCCATGGGAAACATCACGTTCAGACAGTCTTTACAATACATGTTGGTCTCTTTTGTTCAATATTTGTTGAGGTAAGCTTCCTCATTTCTCATCCCTTGGTCATTAGAATGTTTTGTTGAATAGTTTTGATCCCTTTTACTCTATAGGGATATTCTGTAAACAGGCACATTGCCCAGTCTCTCAAGGACTTTGTACAGGCTACCTTTCAATGGATCAGGTAATCTGTAAGTGCCTTGAACATAGAGGTTTAAAACTATCTCTCCTTGTTGAAAGTCTTAACAACATATTCTAGCATTATATTGTCATTTATTTCTATTCCAATTCAATTGGCTTCAACTCCCAAATTTTAAGAGACTGAACTTGTGACATCATGAATACCTCAAATATTAACTTGAGAAGTAAAATTGCTTGCTATATAGCTAGCCAATTTTTATGCTTTTAATATCCTGAGTATAAATACTAAACCCCTGCCCATGCAATATGAAAGCAGCAAACATTAAATCAAACTTACAAAAAAGTATCAGTAATTTCTGCATATTAACATATAGCAAAAAATTGTATATAAATAATAAGTATTCAGAACTTGTTTATAGACACAAAGCACATGAATAAAATGTAGCAAGACATATCACATAACAATATTTCAGTAGCAGATAGATAGGATGCCAAGTTAGTCTGTAAAAAAACTTCACACCTCCACAAAATAAATGAAGTAAAGTTGGAAATAAACAAAGTTTTCCTGAAGTAGTTATGGGGAACGTAATTGCAGTATATAACCAGAAAATGAAACGAAATTGTTAATGTCATCAAAAAAAACCCAACCCCGCTCACTATAGGGGAAAAATGTAGAACAAAATTCGAGTTCTAGAATGAAGATGTTAACATCCCCTTCTCAAGCAAAATACCCAAAACAACATATATGAGGCTAAGAAGAACAAAGAAAATGTCAATAGGATTCACAGCTGTCCTGCTGGAAACAATTACTATTGTACCACCAAACGATCTTGTCTTCCAGAAGAAAAAAATTAGTCTAATGAAGTGATTGGTTCAAATAAAAAAAATAGATAGCATTTATATAGCACTTTAACGTTTGGAAAGTACTTTACATGTGTTGATGCATTTGATCCTCACAACAATCTTGTGAAGTAGGTGTTGTTATTATCCCTATTTTGCAAATGAGGAAACTGAGGCTGAGAGAGATTAAGTGACTGGCCCAGAAACACACAGCTTGTCTGAGGAATGATTCGAAATCAGAGATCTTACCTATTCCAATTCCTTCGCTGTATCCACTGCACTGCCACTATTCCAAGGTGAAAAATATAAAATTAGGAGAAGAAATCAAAGAAAAGTGAAGAAAAGAAGGTGAGTGTCACAAAAGAGTCCCCACACATAGCATAGCTTGGAGAGACAGGCCTAGGCCTTTCCTGGACATAGGGCAACCAGTAATTGTCTAACCACAGGGAACAGGAGTGCACTTCCCCCTTAGCTACAGGAGACAGTGGTTGATCAGGACCTTCCCTCTCCATCTCCCTGAGAGAGAGAAGAAGGGAGAACATCTCATTCATTCAAACTAGATTGAATCTGTACCACAGGGGTTATACTTCCTACAGCTGAGTCTTCACTTCTCAGAATCTGATGATGGCTCTGGGAAGAAAACAAGCCAAGGGTGCCAACTATACCCCACATGTCTCTATCCCTCAAGATATAGAGCTTATCTGCTTCACTTAAACTCCATGCCTCTCTCCTCTTTTTAACACAATTCTCCACCAATCAACCCTAGTCCTCACCCACACAGACACTGGAATTTCCCCCATGGTTGTGCATTTTGGAAATGTGAACCTCCTTGAACAGGGGTTACACATGTAAGTTCCTTAAGGACAGGACTTGTTTCACTTAATGCCTGGCATGTTGTTAGAGCTTAATTAATGTTTGTTAATTGATGGATTAAATTATGTGCCTGTGTACTACACAGTATAAAGCTGTCTAAAGTGTCCAAAAATCAAACAGGCAAACATAATCTTCAACCCCATGAAACTGTATTTAATATGATATGATAGCAATTAAAATTATTTTTATTCCAGACACTTATTAATAGACTATAAATAGACATTATAAATAGAAAATATAGGAAAACTGTCTTCAAGGTTATAGAATTCAAAGGTTTTCCTTGGGAAACTTGTGATAGGTAACTGAGAAAACTGACTGAGGGAGTTAGACTAGATGATCTCCAAGGTCCCTCCCAGTTCTAAAATTCTATGATTCCCGAACTTGAGGCTATTTGATAGTTCTTGAGTAATGGTTCCAAGGACATCTGTTTTACTACCATTTTTTCCCTCATTGTAAATTTTTCTGTAGCAAGCACAGATGCCAGAGATTGAGCTGATGATCTTTTCATGTTTCAAAGTGGAAACTCTTCCTTATTTCTCAAGAATGAAACAAGCTACTGACCTTACGCCCTTGATTTTATGCAAGGCATGATTGCCTTCAAAATACATTCACCAGCTTTGGACTTTATTTTCCATCCTATAATCTATGTTGAAAGGTCTTAACATTTGGCTTAATTATTGACTTTACCTTTATTCCACATTCATAAATTCAAAAGCCCATCTGAGCCACAAGTCCTGTTCTCATCGTGTTATAATGAAGGAGTATAAGCATTCAATATTTTTGTCTTTTTATTAGATATTTTTAAATATTTTAGGAATAGTGCGCTTTTGCATTAATCAATACAGTTTCACCTCCAACAACAAAAAAAGTGAAAACAGAGGAGGCAACTAGATTGAACACCGAATAGAGTGTTGGTTGAGTTAGGAAGACCAGATCCTATCTTAGATATTGCTGTGTGAGCTTGGACAAGTCCCTTAACCTCTGTCTGCCTCCATTTCCTCAACTATAAATTGGGGATAATAGGAGGACCCACCTTCCAGTGTTGTTGTGAGGATCAAATGTGTGTTTGCAAAGCACTTAGCACAGAGCTTGGCATATAGTAGACGCTAAATAAATGCTTCTCCCTTTCCCTCTCCACTTACCTATTCCCATGACTGTTGTCCTTCAAAATGGTCACCTTACTCACAATGTGTTTGGAGTTTCTTCAGGGTCAGTTCAGCTACACAAAAAAGTCAATACCTTTATTTTCCTATCTCCCATATCACTTTCCTCTTTTCTATTTCTCTTTCCTTTAGGTATGTTCCATCCTTCCCTTCTCTATCTGGACCTCCACTTGACAGCAACAGGACTTCCAGAAAGAGACATCCTGGAGAATGGAGTAACTAGCTCTCACAAGTCTAGGAGCCAGAGGAAAGCAGAAGGGAGTGAGTGTTGGGCTTTACTTTTGTGCTGCCTGTTCCAAGTACCATAAATGAGTGATTCAAAGTGGTTGAGTTCTAAATAGGAATGAATAGAAGTGGAATTGCTTTAGTTGCAAACATGAATTAGCAGAAGGTAGATTGTCATTATTCAGGAACAGTCTGAAGTATTATCAAAGGTCCCTTGATGGAGACTTCTATCTGTGTATTTGAAATCTTCAGTATTTACACTATTTATAAAGAATTAAGGCAAAGCTATATGCATGAGTCTTGAATTACTATGGTTTCTTCCCCTAATATTTATGGGGCACAAAAGGATTCTAGTTGGGCTTCTGGGCATCCCTACATGGGCAATCCCAAATTCCCAGCGTCCTCGGGACTTGACAGTAAGACCTTACTTTAATCAAAGAGGCAGATGGGCAAGCTAACACATAAGCAGGGATTATTTGTACTTAATAACCCATTATCACTCATTATCAGAGTATTGGATTCTATTTGAGGGGGGTGCTGGAGCCAGCTCCAACCAGCTCTGGAGAGCTAATTGTTAAATTTTCAGTGTGAGTTATTTGCACCTTGGAAACAGGCAAACTATACAAATTAGGTTTTGAGTTACTGTTTTGTTGACTGTCTAGACTTTCGAAGTGATGGAACAATGTTAATAATGAAAATTAACTCAAAAGGGGGTCTAGTGAATATTTTTTGAGAGTTATTAAACATTTACAAAAACACCCTCATCTCTATACCCCCAATTCCTGGGCCATTTCAGAGTTCAACCCTGACTAGCAAGGCTATCCTTAGTAAAAAACCGTTTACAGGGTGTGATTTGAAGAGTTATAGAAAGGAACACAAATCACTTCCTTTCTCAGGTGCAACAACACTACAAATGTAAGTCACATTCTAGCAGTCCCTGTGAAAAGTTTCGTTTATAAGCTGGGAATGGGGAACTAGATACCCTATGTTCCAGGCTCAGATTTATCATTTTGATACCGTTATGTTAAAAAGCATGAGGAAAATAAATAAAATACAAAAATAAAAACTTTCCTGTGACGTTCTCAAAGAGCTTTAAGGATAAGAGTAAATTAATTGCACAGAGAAGAGGCTAGGCAAGAATAAAAAGCAAGCATAAATGCTCAAAAGCTCTGAGTTCCCTCATTTCATCCGGGAACATCTTTCCTGAAATTAACCAAAAGTTAAGCTTGCCAGACAGAACCCGCAGGGCTGGCGAAAAAGACAAGACCAGACAGATGAGAAGGCGTGGTCAATAAGCACAATTCTACGCATGCGTAGCCCAGCTGAAGTTGGACCCTTACCCGCTCCCAACATTCTTTGATGACCGGAGGGGCGGGGGAAAGAGGTGGTTCCTGCGCCTGCGGGTTGGGGGCGGGGAGTAAAGCAGAGGGAGGAACTGAAATTGCGCCTGCGTATTAGTGCCTATCGGCAGGAAGCCTCTGGCGCTGACGGGCGGAGACTCCCAGGCTGGGTGGCAGAGGGAGGAGTTTACTCGGGCCGCTGCCGCCCTGCCGCGCGCATTGTGCAGCAGGCGGGTCCCCGCGCGCGCGGCAGGGTCCTCGGCTCGCGCTGCTCCCAGGGATGGTGAGCAAGGGGCCCGCTGCTACGCCTGCTGACTGCCGTCAACCGGAGGAGAATGAAGCTGCTAGTGGTCATCGCTTTTGTCGCCTACGTAGCCTGTAAGTGGTGCTGGTGGGGATGTGTGGAGAGCCCCCATTCATTCATTGCTGAACACTTCGTGGATGGGGGGGGAGGTAGGGGGGCAGTGGTGGACTAGGTTCTCTTTTCCCCTCTCGTATGGGGAGTCCTTCCTGGGCGGGGAGGGGGGAGGGATGGGAGAAGTGAGTGGCACTGCTGATGCAGGCGGTAGTGTAGCTATGGTTGCCTACATACTGCATTCTGAGTGGTGGTGGGGAGTGAGGGGTGTGTGTGTGTGTGTGTGTGTGTGTGTGTGTGTGTGTGTTGGGTGCATGCTTCATGGGTGCAGGCGCTTTTAGCCTGGAAGTGCTTTTCCAGCTTCCTAAGCCCTCCTTTCCACACCTGTCTCTACCTGCTCTTCTTACCCCCTCCCTCTCCAAAACTCTTTTCTCCCCCCTTCTCGCTTTCCAGGAGACTTGGCGATTTTTGCTCTCTTGCAAGTAATCTGCAAGCAAACTTCAGCCCAGACCAACTGAGACCGCTTTAGGCCCCGTAGGGAAGAACGCAACCTGTGTAGAGTTAACCGTGAACTTGAGACATGGGGGGAGTGGGGGGACAGAGACAAGAGACAGGAGGCGTGTCTGCATTTTAAGGGTGGTAGAGCAGGGTGCAAGTTGGTATCTAGGAGAGATGGACACGGAATAGGGATCATTTAGGGCCGTAATGGTTAGAGAGAGGCTTTTTCTTATGTTACCTGGAGCTCTGTTTTTCGAGTATAGACGAATCTGGTGGCCGTGGAGGATTCATACTGTTGCCCCAGATTCCTGATTTTCCTCCTCAGCATCTCCTCCGTGTGTGTGTGTGTGTGTGTGTGTGTGTGTGTGTGTGTGTGTGTGTGTGTGTCTGTGAAGAGGAGTCTGCTTACTGTGTGTGTTGAATGGAAGTCGAGCAGAGAGTAGCAGAAGAGGCTGGCAGAGCTCAGCTGCTCTGCCAGTGCCCGGTTAATGCCCTTTGGGAGTCTCTCTGGGTAACAGCTCAAAAAAGCCCTCCTTCTTTGTTGTTCTAGTCTAGAGAGAGTTGTGCCGCGAACCGCCACGGAACCCCGTAACACCCGCAGCCAGTCATCGGTGTTTATTAAAATAGAATAAAAATACCGTGCAGTTGGCAGAATCAACTGAGCTTAGTGTTTACACTGCAGGGAAATTACTCAGCATTTAACTGTTCTCATGCTAAATTTTACTCACCCAGCCGAGCCCTTCTTCCTCCCCCACTCTCTTCCCCTTTGGGAGGCAGAGTAGATCACTAATAGCGTGTCCAACCTTTTCCTGGGTTCGATTCAGAGACTCTGTGTTGAGCCAGCCGCTAGTGTTACATGTGTATCTAACCTTTTTCTGGGTTCCATTCAGAGTTTTTGAGTTGAGCTTACAGTTAAGTGTAACATGTGTATCCAACCTTTTCCGGGATTCGATTCAGTCCCTGGGCTGAGCCGGCAGTTAGTACTACAGAAGTAGCAGTGTGTGGAGGAGATCTTAGCTCTTCCTGGGGAGGTGGGTTCCTCCATCTGAGTAGCTTTTTCATTGGATGCTACTTGTGAAGTCCTCAAATAAGAAAGGAAATGTTACTTGAAGGACGAAAAGTGGTGGGACTATTTTGATGAGAGATAAATCTTGAAAAAAGGAAGAGTGAAGAGTAATGACACAGGACAGTGTGTGTAAATAGGGTTTTGCTCTGATGGCTGTGGTTTTAGTTTGTCTTCAGTGTACAGCTCCTGCTTGGGAAAGACATCCTGCTGACTTAAGAAATGGCTAGGTTTTGTTGTTGTTATTTGTGGTGGTGGTGAAGGTGTATGTGTAGGGTATTGGGGGATGGGGAGAGTTGGGGCATGACAATGTTGGTTAGAAAGCATTTTTTCAAGGGAAGCATTTATTAAGCACCTGCCCTGTTCCAGGCACTCTCGTGGGCACTGGATATACATATGCAAAACCAAGATCCGAGAATGAAATGAAAGTAGTTGTCTGTAGTTCCCTTCAAGGAGAAACCACTAGACAGACACAAACAGACGTGAAACCACTTAGTCTCCCAACCAAATGGGAAAGGTATGGTTCCAGGGGAGACTGCAGCTTAGGGGAAGTCCCTTTTTGTGGCATCACCTCATGATGGACGGTGGACGAGGATGTGATCAAATATTCAGTGGTGAGGTACAGTCTAACTCCTGTAGGAGCTAGGAGGGAATTGTTGGAGAGACTTCAAGTCTTCCCAGAGAGTGGACCTTGAGCTAGGCTTTCAAGCATGGATAGAAGTAAGAGGGGAAAAGTAGAGCATTCAAGGTGAGAACTCCTAGTTCGCTTAGGTTTAAAAATAGAAGAGTTTGTTTGAAGAGGTAAGAAATAGGGGGTGATTGCAGATTTTGAGCAGTTTTTTTGCAGAGCACCTTGAATACCTGACAAAAAGAATTTGAGCTTTACTTGGTAGATTACATAATAAGGACCCTCTGAGGATTTTGGTGTGGAGGAGTGAAATGACCAGCTTTATACAAAAGGAAGATTAATCTGACAGTGAGGTATAGGCTGAATTAGGGAAGAGAGAACCTCTAGAAATGGAGCCAGACTGACTTTTACAGTACTTATTTCATTAAATAATGAGGGCCTAGATTTGGGCAGTGGCAATGTAGATAGAGAAAAAGAATCTTGTCTGAGATAGTTTTATGGAAATTATCAGAACTCGTCCATGATTGATTTGAAGCACAAGTATAAGGAGAGGAATGAGTCAAATGACTAAGACAACAGAGTTGGGAAGACAGAATCTGATTTGGAGGAAATTATTTCATCTTTGGACGTATTGAATTGGTGGTAATGGTGAGACATGGAAGTGCCTTTTTGAAATCTCACTAGCCAAGCTTTTTTTGAATACAGAAATTGGCAAACAGGTGGACTCCTCTTGTGTTTCTGAGAATATCAGGGAATCAAACAGATTTGGTAGCTTAGTTTATATTGTCTCCCTTTGTTGTTGTCTGCTAATAATTTGTTCCATTCTTATATCCAAAAATTTTTGTAAGGCCCTACTTGGAAACTCCCCTTCAAATACACAAATAACACATCCATTTTTCCTTCTTCTTTCTCATATTTTTCCTGTCCTTTGAGACACTATTCTGTATCTTATTGCTTCAATGATTCTTTTGTCCCATGTTGATCTCTTCCTGTCCTGACTTCGTGTGACACTTATGTACTGTTTTCCTAAGAGCCTGAAGGTTTGGCTCATCTGCTGCCTTGAATCTTTGCTACCACTTTTTTTTTTTTAGGGGGTGGGGGAAGGGGTTGAAAAGGCAATCAGAGTTAAGTGACTTGCCCAGGTTCACATAGCTAGTAAGTGTCTGAGGCTAGATTTGAACTCAGGTTCTCCTGATTCCAGGGCTGGTGCTCTCTCTTCTGCACCACCTAGCTGTCTCATACTACCATTCTTTTGCACCCAGGTTTCTCAGAACCCAGGTCCTGAAAGGGTAACAGGTTTTCATTTCTCACATTTCCTGGTGTCTGTTACAGAGACACATAACCCTTCTTAAGTTTTTTTTTTAAGGATTTTTACTGCTAGTAGCTACAGAGAAGCAAAAGTTTTAAAATTAAACGTATAAATGGATTCTTCCCTGTTACTGTCTAGGCATCTTTCATTACCTAAGTTCACAACCTGTTTCATCCTCAGTCTTCACTCCCTCGCTCCACTGTATCCAATCTGTTACCAAATCCTCTCGATTTTTACCTTCTCTCATCTGCCACCGCCACCACTGATGCAGAGCAGAATTACATCAGTCAGTGACACTGGCCTCTTTGCTGGTTTTTGCGCAGGACACTTCCATCTCCCGGACTCCTAGCATTTTCATTGCCTGTCTCTCATGCCTGGAATTCTCTCTCTCCTCATCTCTTTTTTCTGGCTTCCCTGACTTTTTTGGGCCCCAGTTAAAATCCTACCTTCTTCTGCAAGAAGCCTTTGCCAATATCCCCTTTAATGTTAGTGCTTTCCCTATGAGATTATCTCTGTTTTTTCCTGTTTGTATCTTGTTTGTACATTGTTGTTTGCATGCTGTCTCCTTTACTGGAGTGTGAGTTCCTATTGGACTGTGCAGCAAAATTATTGTTTGCCTTTCTTTGCTCCACATTTTGCACAGTATCTGGCACTCAGGTGATGCTTAATAAATGCTTCTTGACTTTCTCTGATTTGGTTTCTGGTCTTTGTTTCGTCCAATTTATCAAACATTTATTAAGCACTAATCCTGATAAGAGCTCTATTCCAGGTGCATGGGATCTATACATTTTAGAAAAGACATGAGCCATGCCTTCTTCAAACTTAAAAGTCTTGTTGGAAGATTTGATATATCTAGCTATATAAGTTCATTAGAAAGGTACAAGCACAGTACTTTGTGAGCAGGGTGTGGGGGGAGGAAAATCAGAGAAAACATCACGATGGGGATGGAATTCGAATTAAGCTTTCAAAGATGATTTGGAATTCAGTGGTGTGGGCTTTGAATGCCTGGTAAAAGGGTTGTGGTAGGCAGTATAAAGCCACCAAACATTATTAAAAATAATAATAACATTACCATAGGTATCTTTTGTTTTCTATCACCTACGTTTCTCAATGTACCATCCCCTCCCTCTCTTGGAGACATATCCTCTAAAGAGATATCCTCTAAAAAATATGCTCTAAAAGAGATATGCTCTTAAAAAAAAAGAATAAAAAAGTGGGAGAAAGTCCAGTAAAACTAATCAACACATGGAAAAGGTCTGACATGTGGTTAAATGCATCACATATATACCCTTCAAACCTGGCCCATTTGTACCTTTCCAGTCTTCTTACATTTGAATCGTCTCCAAGTATGATCCAGCAAACACGGACCTCCTTGATGTTCTTTGAACAATATACCCTATCTAACTTTTGCCTTTTCACTGGTTCTCCCCCGTGCTTGGAATGTTCTCCCCTTTTATGTCTGACTAGTGGATTCTGTGCTTCCTTCAAGACTCAGCCCAAATTTCACCTTCTGTAAGAGATGTTT